GTGCCCCAAGTGCCAGTTAAGTGCAAGCAAAGAGCTGCAGTTTGAGGACCACTGATTTAATCTTTAATTCTATTTTTTGCTGTTCTGGTATAGCTGTGATGGGAACATTGACTTTCGTAAATGTTTTGCATTTGTAAATACAGACATAGACATTAGGTACCCTTTTACATAAAAATGAACCCACAATTTCCTCTGTATTAACTTGAAACTGACAAAAGTTAATGACATCAGACTTTGCCTTAGATTTTAGATTCAACAGAATATTTTAAGTATTAAAACAAATAAAAATGGCAAGGACAAAAATAATGAATCCATTAACCAAATATTCTGTTGCAGTACCCTTGGATGCAATCACAGCAAACCAACAATTTCTGTTAATGAGACCTCTGTGCCTTTTAACTAATAGTTTGGCAAACCGCTCAAAAAGATTTGAAGGGTGCTGTCTGCATGTTTCAGCTCTTTCAATAGCTGTTTGATAGGATTCAGATCAAAGCTCATACAATGCCACTTCAGAATTGTCAATTGTTTTGTTCTTAGCCATTTTTCAGTGCTTTTAGCTACAGTATGTGGGTCATTATGCTTTTGGAGGGCCCATGACATTTGACTGAGACAGAGGTTTCTAACACTGGATAGTGCATTTTTGCTCCAGAATTCCTTGATTGTTTTGAGATTTTATTTTCTGCAGAGATTCAAGGTACCCCTTTGCCAGATGCAGGAAGGCAGCCCAAACAGATAACCGAACCTTTTCCATGTTTCACAGTAGGTACTTTCACATGCCCTCTGAAGCTAATGCTGATGAGAAAAAAAAATTTAGCTTTTTAGCTAGTCACATCTGTCGAAAGTACATTCTCCCTGAAACATTGTGTCTTCTTGATATGCATTTTGGCATATTCCAGTCTGCCTTTTCATAGCATCTTCCCGGGTTTGAGCCCACTGTCACTCAAGTGATGGATGGTGCAATCAGACAGGTGTACCTTTATCTTCAAGTTTAGCTTGTATCTCTTTGGCAGTTTTTGTGGGTCCTTTTGTCTACTGTTGAAAATAGCCTTCTATTTAATCAGGGGTCAATTTTCCTCTTGTGGCCTCATTCGGGCTACTTCCACGGACCATAAAATATTTCTAGTTATGGTCACAGGAAAAAAAAGTCAGCAGTTTATGCACACACACCTAAAGCACACTGCTAAGGAGAAATAAATCAACTTTATAAAGTATAGCAGGTGTATAGTGGGTGTGATAAAACAATTTTAGTTGTATCCCTAGAGCAGGGGTGTCCAAACTTTTTTCAAAGAGGGCCAGATTGGATGAAGTGAACATGGTGGAGGGCCGAACATTTTTCCGAACATTCTTTGAACCATTACAATTAAATGCAAATAAATTATTTTATGCCAAATTAATTGCAAACGACATACTTTTCATTTCATAACATTAAGATCAACTGACAGCTGAGTTTTCACAATGTATTGAAAATAAATTTTAAAAAAACTTACCTGCACTGATGTGAAGGGTGAAAAAGGTAGCTGGAGCTGAAGTCTCTGCTCGGCAGCCGGGAGGGGAAGAGAAACACACTTCACGCTGGAAGCCCGGCCCTGACATCACCACCCTCTGTCGCTCCCAGTGCGGCGCAGTCACGCATGCGCACTGCTCTCTCAAGCAGAAGACTGTCTGCCACAGAAGGGTGGGCCGTGCGACAGCCGCATTTACACAGACCAGGGAGAACGCGCCGCAGTCAGGCGTGCGCACTGCCCTCTGCTCTCAAGCAGAAGACTGTCTGCCATAGAAGGGAGGGCCGTGGGAGGGCCACATTACACAGAGCAGGGAGGGCTGTTGGAGGGCCGTATTAAACTGACCCCCGGGCCGTAAATGGCCCGTGGGCCGGACTTTGGACATGCCTGCCCTAGAGGAAATCACTGAGCCTTTGTGTGTCTTTAAACACTGACTAGTCTTGGTCGGTCATTTGGAGTAATGGTCAAGACCACTTAGGTTGAGCCTGTCAATACCTGATCCTAAACGTAGTAGTGAGGGTTGAATAGTAAGTAAAGACTAATTTGGTGGTATCTGGCCTTCTTCTAAGTTGTTCAGAGGGAATGATATGTAGGGTTATTATAGGTTTCAAAATAGTATTTCAAGTGCGTGTCAAAGTTGGTAATACTGGAATAGTAATTTAGACGGTAACGCTAAGTCCTCCTATAGTTGAGCAAATTACTTGATTTCTTGTGAGGAACATAAATGAGAAAGTAATTTTATATCATGTGAGAACCATTTTTGCATGAATAGACAGCAGTTCCGACAGAGAGGGATTTGACCACAAAGTGTTATAGAGTGAGCATGACCATTGTTCCCAAAAATAAATGTTTTAATATGTAGAGGAATACTGAGAAGGAAGTGCTTAACGTAGTTGTTTCTGGAAAGGGGAAACTTTACCTCTATATACTATGTAGTGCAAAGATTCATAAGAGGTTGCTATGGCAGTCTCGTTTGCAGTGCAGGCATTGCCCAGAGTTAGATTGAGCCAATCTTGGATGTGAATTAGTTGCTCTCCTAGGTAGTAGGCATGGAAGTCTGAGAAGGCTAAGCCTGACATGTGCATGGGTAATTTGAAGTATATCCAGAACAGTCCTTGGGGTTTGTTTCTGCCAAAAAAACTAGAGCAGATGACACTGAATTTCATAAAAATGTGAACAGCGGGTGTTAATTAGGAAATACAGTAGTTTAGGTAAGATTATCATTTTTATTATATTAATCCTGCACCATGACATCCAAAGGGAGATCCATCCATTGGTTTGTTTTCTGTTGTAGTAAAGAAATCAAGGGCCGGACATTTGAGATGTAGGGTTGTAAGGGTGATTGCACCATCGTTCTAAGGTTTCTAAAGAAGTTTAAGATTTGCAATTTTGAGTTTCGATGAACTATTTGGGTTGCAGCTTAGTCTATTAGAAAGTGATTAGACTTCTCTTGTATACCACGAAAAACCAGAAGAGGTCCCAAATTCTTCCACTATTTCCAGTAGAAAATTGAGGGAGCGGTCAGGGTCAAGCAAATATACTAGGGTTTCATCTGCATATAGTGATATACATTGTTCAGGGGGAACCAGTGGTTAAGCCCACCACACTAGCTGTGGCGCATATTTAGATCACTAGTGATTCAATAGTTAGGTCTTACAACAAAGGGGACATTGATAGCCCAGTTACAAATGGAGAAACAGAAAAAGGGCTCACCGACCTAGTGCATTATCGTTTAAAGTATTTATTGAAGAAACAAAGTAAGTATAATACTTACAATAGACATAAAAACACTGGCATGTCAAACTGAACAAGATGTATGATCCAAACAACATCTGAGTCCATACAATGGAACCCTGGATGACCAACTGGCTAACGCGTTTCGAGGACACAACCTCTTCCTCAGAGCCAGAAACTTTGTTTCTTCAATAAATACTTTAAACAATAATGCACTAGGTCGGTGCGCCCTTGTTTCTGTTTTTTTTTTCTGTTTCTCCATTTGCATCTAGTGTATTTGGACCACCCTGGTCTGTTGAGGGCAGCAAGCAGTGCATATTCCAGAACATTCCTATTGGGTCTACTGAGTCCTTTCATAGCGCAGGAGAAAAGTGTTTGTTGTATTGATAGCCCAGTCTCATGGTAGATAGTGAAAGGGGTCAAAGTTATTTACACACGCCTTGGTTACTGGGTCTGTATAAAGAGTTTCTAAAGACACTAGTGCATGTGTATTAGAACATTATTTTGATGTCCACGTTAATAAGGAGATAGGGCGATAGGCCTCACATCTAGGGCCATTTTTGAGGTTTTAAATGGGGACAATGAGTCTCTCTCTCATAGGGAGTGGTAGAACCGCAGCTGCTAATGCTGAAGCCTGTCAAGTAAATAAGGACTAATCATTTCTTTAAACATACTACTTGGCCAGGAAGCCATCTAGGCTTGGGGTTTCTGAAAGGGTAATTTGGAGATGACAAGTTCCTTCTCAGGTGTAGTGATGAAATTAAAAAAAGAGAGAATTCCATATGGATGGTCTTAATTTGAGACGTCAGTTTTACAGTCTTTTATAGCGTGCATGATTTGCAGCAGGGTAAATTCAGTTGCGTCTGTAGGGTCACTCACCTCGGCAGAGCACAAGCTGGGTGGTGGAATTAGAGCAAGGTGGAGAGGAGGGCGATGCAGGAGTAATCACACCATGCCAAACCTGACTGAGGGGAGATTTCCTCTGAGGGCTTCCATGGATTGGACTTGTTTTTCCAGCACATCCTACAGATGCTTGATTGGACTGAGATCTAGAGAATTTGGAGGCCAAGTCAACACCTCCAACTCTAATGTTTTGTTTTTCAAACCATTCTTGAACCATTTTTGCAATGCGGCAGGGAGCATTATCCTGCCATCAGGGACTACCATTTCCACAAAGGGGTGTACTTGATCAGCAGTAATGTTTAGGTAGGTGGTACGTGTCAAGTAAAATCCAAATGAATAGCGGGACTCAGCAGGACATTGCCGAAAACATCCCACTGCCTCTGCTGGCTTGTTTTCTTCCCATGCAGCATTCTGGTGCCATCTCTACCCCAGGCAAGCAACACACATGCACCTGGTCATCCACATGGTGTAAAAAGAAAACATGAATAATCAGACAAAATCGCCTTCTATCAATGCACTGTGGTCCAGTTGTTCTGATGCTCACATGTCCATTGCGGGTGCCTTTGCCTGTGGACATGGGTAAGCATGGGCACCAAGACTTTGCAGCCCCATATACAACAAACTGCTTTCAACACATCAACTTCAGGGACAACATGTTTACTTGCTGCCTAATATATCCCAGATGCCATTGTAATAATTAGTGTTCTTCACCTAACCTGTCAGTGGTCAAAAAATTATGGCTGATCAGTGCATATATAATTTAAGGTTAGCTTCCATATTTGTTAGTCATTTGAGACATCTGTAGGCTGGGAAATAAGTAAACTGAGAGCATAAAATAATTTATTTTTTTTGTCTTTATAGCTAGTTATTCCTTTTCCTGTGTCCTTCCGTCTGAAGAGTAAGGATGTTGTAGTGGACATTCGGCGAAGAAAGCTCAGCATTGGGCTGAAGGGCCAGAATCCTGTGTTGGATGGAGAGCTTTTTAATGAGATCAAGGTAGAAGAGTGCTCATGGCTAATAGAAGATGGCAAAGTGGTTACAGTTCATTTGGAAAAGGTGAGAAGAAAAGGTGGAATTCAAATTACTTTATACATTTTATTAATAGAGTTGTGTATTCTGCAGATAATTTACAGGTGAAAATTAGAATATCGTGCAAAGTTCATTTATTTCATTAATGCAACTTAAAAGGAGAAACTAATATATGAGAGAGACTCATTACATGCAAAGCAAGCTAGTTCAAGCCATGATTTGTCATAATTGTGATACTTGTGAGCTTACAGCTCATGAAAACCCCAAATCCACAATCTCAGAAAATTAAAATATTACATGCAATCAATAAAACAAGGATTGTACATAGAACAATATTGGACCTCTGAAAAGTATACACATGCATATGTACTCAGTACTTGGTTTGGACCCCTTTTGCAGCAATTACTGCCTCAATGTGGTGTGGCATGGAAGCTATTAGCCTGTGGTACTGATGAGGTGTTATGGAAGACCAGGATGCTTCAATAGCGGCCTTCAGCTCTTCTGCATTGTTCGGTCTCATGTCTCTCATCTTTCTCTTGGCAATGCCCCATAGATTCTCTATGGGGTTCAGGTCAGGCGAGTTTGCTGGCCAATCAAGCACAGTAATCCCATGGTCATTGAACCAGGTTTTGGTGCTTTTGGTAGTGTGGGCAGGTGCCAAGTCCTGCTGGAAAATGAAGTCAGCATCCCCATAAAGCTCATCTGCGGAAGGAAGTATGAAGTGCTCCAAAATCTCCTGGTAGACGGCTGCGTTGACCCTGGACTTAATGAAGCACAGTGGACCAACACCAGCAGATGACATGGCTCCCCAAATCAACACAGACTGTGGAAACTTCACACTGGACTTCAAGCATCTTGCAGTGTGTGCCTCTCCATTCTTCCTCCATACTCTGGGTCCTTGGTTTCCAAATGAGATGCAAAAGTTGCTCTCATCAGAAAAGAGGACTTTGGACCACTGAGCAACAGATCAGGTCTGTTTTTCTTTAGCCCAGGTAAGACGCTTCTGACGTTGTTTGTTGTTCAGGAGCGGCTTGACAAGAGGAATACGACATTTGAAGCCCATGTCCAGGATCTGTCTGTGTGTGGTGGCTCTTGATGCACTGACTCCAGCCTCAGTCCACTCCTTGTGAAAGTCCCCAACATTTTTGAATGGCTTTTTCCTGACAATCCTCTCCAGGGTGCGGTCATCCCTGCTGCTTTTGCACCTTTTTCTTCCACACTTTTCCCTTCCACATAACTTTCTCTTAATGTGCTTTGATACAGCACTTTGGGAACATCCAACTTCTTTTGCAATTACCTTTTGAGGCTTTCCCTCCTTATGGAGGGTGTCAATGGTGGTTTTCTGCAAAACTGTCAGGTCAGCAGTCTTTCTCATGATTGTGATTCCTATTGAACCAGACTGAGAGACCATTTAAAGGCTCAGGAACCCTTTGCAGGTGTTATGGCTTCGATAAATAAGTGGGGTGTAGCGCTCAAAACAAATAAAAACAATATGTCCACATATATAAATGCATGTGAATGCGTAAACGGATATAGAGTCTGTATCAAGAAGAAATATAGCAGATGAACTTGTGACTCCAACCAAAACTGAAAAATGCGCACTAACTGGAAGCGCATAGATAATGCGCATACATATAAATTTCCACAGTAGATTGGCCAATCTGGTGAACTTTATCCTATGGTGCAGTCATCAAGCCCTTGGAGAACGGTGTTGAATCCCTTGACCAGGAGTTCCTTCTTTAGGCTAAATGAGGTAATCAGCCTGGATACGGGGCTCCTGTTCCTCCAGATATGTTGGATACTGACAGGTACCTGTGCGTAGTGCGATGCGCAGCGGCCATTTTCCCTTTGGTCTGGCAATTTATGCTTATACTGTCCGCATAACTGTCACAAGCAGATTAATTAATTAAGGAGCCAGTATATATCCATATATATATTATGAGGGAGGGGTAGTCATCAGCCCACAAACATACTACTGATGAATAGAGGTAATGGTGAAACTAATGCTATAAAAGGGCATCCACAGCAATAATAAAATATATATAAATCTGAAATGCAATATTAAATGCTAATCAATAGATAAATAAAATAAAGCCACGGTAAACAGATCCAATCATGGTAAAATCACAGCACGAAAAAATTAATAAAAACGTGCTGATGACATTAAAAATGATAAAAACATATATAAAAATCAAATAAATGCAGTCATATAAATAAATAAAAAGAACATAGACAATTAGCAGAATCAGTGGTATAAAACCTTAACTATTGGCAATAAAACAGTTTATATCCAGTTCTATGTTAAAACCTAATGGATGGAGCGTGCTGAGTTCAAATACCCATTTTGTTTCAGCCTGAGACACCGCTCTTGTTTTATTACTCCCCCTCCAATGTGGCTTAATGATATCAATTCCTATATATTTAAGCATGGAGGGGTCACAGTTGTGGTGGGTCCTATAATGATTAGACAGAGAATGTTCTCTGTAGCCCTTTTTTATGTTGGGCACATGTTCACACAAGCGGTCTCGGAGCCTCCTAGTGGTACGCCCAACATATTGCTTGCGGCAAGGGCATTGCAGTAAATACACCACATATTTACTATAGCAAGTAATAAATTTATTGATAGTATGCGTCTTGCCAGTACTTTCTGAGGTAAATGTATTTACTCTGGATTTTCTGCTAGAGTTACATTTACACATAATACATTTATTACACGGATGGAAACCATGTATATCAGAAAAAAAAGAAATCCTCTTTGGAGGGTCTACCACATTGGGAGCAAGAGTGTGTCTCATAGATGCAGCTTTTCTGGGAGAATGGTAGATAACACAGGGTCAGCCTTCAGGATGTTCCAATTATTTTTAATAATATTCCCAACCTTTTTATGTTGAATGGAGTAAGTAGAAATAAATGGGCAGACATTTGGTTGTGTCAATAATTTGGTATTATCCTGCAACATATTACTCCGGTCCATATTTGCCACGGCATTAATAATAGTGTCTAGTTTTGTGGTATTATAGCCTTTTTCCTGGAATCTCTTTTTCAGAACTATAGATTGTGAGAAATATGTATTAAGATCCAAACAGTTACGTCTTATTCTCATAAATTGTCCCTTTGGAATATTCGCCAACCAGGTGGGATGGTGGCAGCTGTCTATAGGGATATAACTGTTACGGTCTGTTGGCTTGAAATAAGATTCCGTAGCTATTTTCCCATTTATGTTATTCAATGATAAATCCAAGAAATGAATGCTATGCTTACTATAGGCATAAGTGAGACTGATATTAACAGTATTATTGTTTAAAGTTCCAAAAAAGTTTATAAGAGATTCTTCATCACCCTTCCATAGTAGTAAGATATCGTCTATATATCTTTTATAAGTGATTAGTTCTGGCCACTCTCTACTATAGATTATGTCTTCCTCCCAGCGTGACATAAATAGATTTGCAAGGCTGGGGGCAAACTTAGCCCCCATTGCGACACCTTTTGTCTGCAGGAAGTATGTTTGGTTGAACCAGAAATAATTGTGCTGTAAAGCATACTCCAAAAGATTCAGTATATAAGTCTGTTGCATAGGTAATAAAGTGCTGTAGTGCTTTAAATAAAACTCAGCAGCTTCCATGCCATCCGGGTGCTTAATATCCGTGTACAGCGAGGCGACATCTGCTGTTATCAAGTAGGTATCTGGTGTAATATCAGTGTCATATAGTAAGTTAAGTACTTGTTTCGTATCACGAAGGTACAAGGGAGTTTGTACCACTAAAGGTTGTAGAAAGAAATCATACTAGGTGTTATGGCTTAATTAGCTGATTAGAGTGGGACACTTTGAGCCTAGAATATTGCACCTTTTCACAATTTTCTGAGATTGTGGATTTGGGGTTTTCATGAGCTGTAAGCCATAATCATCACAATTATGACAAATCACGACTTGAACTATCTTGCTTTGCATGTAATGAGTCTATCTCATACAGTCAGGTCCATAAATATTGGGACATGGACACAATTCTAACATTTTTGGCTCTATACACCACCACAATGGATTTGAAATGAAACTAACAAGATGTGCTTTAACTGCAAACTGTCAGCTTTAATTTGAGGGTATTTACATCCAAATCAGGTGAACGGTGTAGGAATTACAACAGTTTGCATATGTGCCTCCCACTTGTTAAGAGACCAAAAGTAATGGGACAGAATAATAATTATAAATCAAACTTTCACTTTTTAATACTTGGTTGCAAATCCTTTGCAGTCAATTACAGCCTGAAGTCTGGAACGCATAGACATCACCAGATGTTGAGTTTCATCCCTGGTGATGCTCTGCCAGGCCTCTACTGCAACTGTGTTCCGTTCCTGCTTGTTCTTGGGGCATTTTCCCTTCAGTTTTGTCTTCAGCAAGTGAAATGCATGCTCAATCGGATTCAGGTCAGGTGATGGACTTGGCCATTGCATAACATTCCACTTCTTTCCCTTAAAAAATTCTTTGGTTGCTTTTGCAGTATGCTTTGGGTCATTGTCCATCTGCACTGTGAAGCGGCGTCCAATGAGTTGTGAAGCATTTGGCTGAATATGAGCAGATAATATTCCCGAAACACTTCAGAATTCATCCTGCTGCTTTTGTCAACAGTCACATCATCAATAAATACAAGAGAACCAGTACCATTGGCAGCCATACATGCCCACGCCATGACACTACCACCACCATGCTTCACTGATGAGGTGGTATGCTTAGAATCATGAGCAGTTCCTTTCCTTCTCCATACTCTTCTCTTCCCATCACTCTGGTACAAGTTGATCTTGGTCTCATCTGTCCATAGGATGTTGTTCCAGAACTGTGAAGGCTTTTTTAGATGTCGTTTGGCAAACTCTAATCTGGCCTTCCTGTTTTTGAGGCTCACCAATGGTTTACATCTTGTGGTGAACCCTCTGTATTCACTCTGGTGAAGTCTTCTCTTGATTGTTGACTTTGACAC